GAATACAGATTAGACCTAGACTTGCATCAAATGAATAGAATATGGCAGAAGTTATCAGACCTCATTCCCGAGACAAGATTCAAAAAAGACTTTGGTTTCCAGTCTCTCTTTTTTTTTTTTTTTTTTTTTTTGGGACAGTGTCTCTCTGTCACCCAGGCTACAGTGCAGTGGTGTAACCTTGGCTCACTGCAACCTCCACCTCCTGCATTCAAGCAATTCTCCTGCCTCAGCATCCTGAGCAGCTGGGGTTACAGGTGCCCACCACCACACCGGCTAATTTTTGTATTTTCGTAGAGACGGGGTTTTGCCATGTTGGCAAGGCTGGTCTTGAACTCCTGAACTCAGGTGTCCACCCACCTTGGCCTGCCAAAGTGCTGGGGTTATAGGCATGAGCCACCGTTCCCAGACTGAGTTTTAACAGAACATCACCAGTATATCAAAATAAGGTTGCTCTATTTGTACTTTATAATTTTATTATAAACTAAACTTGATTTATTTATTTTTGAGCAGAAGTCTCACTCTGCCTTCCAGGATGGAGTGAAGTGGCATGATCTCAGCTCACTGAAACCTCCGCCTACTGGGTTCAAGGGATTTTCCTGCTCAGCATCCCCAGTAGCTGGGATTACAGGCACCTGCCACCACACTCGGCTAATTTTTGTATTTTTATAGAGCTGAGGTTTCACCATATTGGCCAGGCTGGTCTTGAACTCCTGAACTCAAGTGATCCACCCGCCTCAACCTCCCAAAGTGCTGGGATTACAGGCGTGAGCCACCAGGCCTGGCCTAAACTGAATCTGATTTTGTAGTTGAGTTATAAACTAACAGTTACGTTTATTACATGCTTTATGCTTATAGTTGAAGTCACACTTCCATACAAATCATTTAAGAGAACACTGTGGCGTAGCACAACGTGTCTTTCCGAAGATGACCACATATTGCTAAATTCTGAGAAACTGATGATTTGAGAGTTTGGGCAAGCCTCAGGTTAAGGTTGTGTGCGCCAGAGCCTCAGAATTCCCACGCATATACTCATTTCCCATAACTAAGTGTAATCTCTTAAAAACACAAATCTGACTGTGCCTGTTTTGTTTATCACACTCCTGATGTTTGGCCCATCTGTAAATAAATGAGTGATTGTCATGTCCTGACTTAAAACCCTTCAACGATACCCGCTGCTCTAGAGATAAAGGCCATGCTCTGAAAAGGCTCTCTAGGGTCCTCCTCTGCAGCCTCTCCTTTTTTTCTAGAGCTCGCTGTCAACCCCTGCCCTTCATCCAACCCACCTTAACTTTCGCCACTCCTAGTGATCTTAAACATCCCATCTTTCTCCCAGCTCTGATATATCGGCATTGACAGTGAGCTATGACCTATTGCTGGGCGCCATCTCTGTCCCCCATGAGATACCTGAGGGCAGGAAGCTGTGCCTCCTTAGCCCCATCCCACCCAGTAGCACCCACTTTACACACAATGGGGGCTCCATGAATCTAGGTTGAATGGATGAGTGGCCACTACATGAGTCTGCTGGGACTCAAGCCTCACTCTGAGGAGCCCAGGATGAATCTGCTCATCAGCCAGGCAAGCAGTGGACTGGGGCTGTACCTGCCTCAGTCAAGAGACAGGAGCCCTGAGGGGCAGAGACAGCTTCCCCCGGAGTCGCTGCTGAGTCACCAGGGAAGCAGGAATTTCTGGTCCAATTTCTTCCTTACCTTAATGTTCAGGTCAGCAGAGTGAAGCTTTTCTAGTAACTAAATTTAAGAAGGTCTCTCAGCCACCTTTCTTTGTTTTTTGTTGTTTTGAGATAGGGTCTTACTCTGTTGCCCAGGCTGGAGTACGGCGTCATGATCACAGCTCACTGCGGCCTCGACCTCCCAGGTGGAAGCCATTCTCCTGCTTCAGCCTCCTGAGTAGCTAGGACCACAGGTGCACACCACCATGCCTGGCTAATTTTTTAAATTTTTTGCAGAGATGGCGTCTGGCTATGTTGCCCAGGTTGGTCTTGAACTCTAGGAGTCAAGCGACCCTCCTGCCTCAGTCTCCCAAAATGCTGGGGTTACAGGCATGAGCCTGCGCCCGGCTCAGACATCCGTCTTTCCATTCCAGGAAATGCTGAAATCCAGTGCTTCCAGCACAGGGTCCTCTCCAGCTCCCCTCACCACCCCCGGTCCTATGTCTGGTCCTCCACTCCTTGATTCTCCAGTGCAACTAAGACCACTGGGTCCCAAATGAAGCATCGCCCGGTCTCTCAGCTGACTGTTGGTCTCCCCTACGAACTTTGTTTTGTACACCTCTGTTTCCTCAGCACCTGGCAAAACTGGCTGTGAGAAAACACTCCCTGGGCAAATGAACGCGGCCCCTTAGGAGCCTCGCATCCTCTTTAATCACATGATTACCGTAAAACTCACCTCGGAGGGAAGAGGCCCGGGACAAGACACAGCAGGTTCTCAGTAACAATCACTATTAGAACTGGGGTAAGTGGTCAAGGTGGCCGAGGTAGGGGAGGGCTTAGAGGCCTTCTACAGGCATCCTGGCCGTGGCATATAATTAGTGCTCATTAAAGACAGTTCCAACTACTGTGGAAGTGACCACCTCCACATAGGCTGCTTCCTTTCCAATCCCTGGGAGAAAGGAGCTCCAACGAGAGGACACCAGCACGAGAGCCAAGCAGGTGTTCGGGTCTGAGCCGACCTGGCAGGAAGTGAGTGCCTCGTCCAGCCTCCCTGCCTCCCCCCTCCCTCCCTCCTCACACTTTTCATTGATCTTTATTGTCATTTCCTGGGTTTGCACAAGGCTGGGTCTGGAGACCGCACACCTTGTTTCTCAGCTGAACTTTGGTGCTGGCTGCTGGCATCGCCCGCCTCCTGGTGCTGCACACTGCCCATCATCACACACCATGGAGCCTCAGGGTGCTGCTGAGAGCACCCCGGTCCACAGCCAGGTGGGAGAGCACACCAACAGACGGCTGAACACCTGTCGGACCCTTGAGAACCCTTCTGCAAAGCTTTGAAAGAATGAAATCCACTTGGCTGAGAGATCAAATCTCTCCAGCATCTTCCTTGAAGGTTACACCATCCCTGCACATCCTATAAAAGCTGATGGTAACCAACACATCAGGAGTTTCACAAATACCTGGCCTGATGCAAAAACCCAAAGATGGAAAGGGAAAGAAAAGGAATGGCAACGCAGGAAAGGCAACCGGTGCTGGCAAACTTCAAACTCCTTTGGCAGGACATTTCGCACAGCTTATCAGTAGAGAAATGGATCACAGCAAATGAACTGAACCCTATACCCTATCAATATTAACATGTCACTTCCGAAAAAGAGATATTCTTCAAAAACTGCTAGTTACATGGTCCTACCACCCTAACACCAGAATTCTTACAACAGCAATGTATAAAACACTATTTTTAAAAAGCACAAATACGTAATCTCACCACCAAAATGTTTTTGAACATTAGCTTTCTTTGGGAGAAAAAAAAATAAAAGTTTAAGTCAAATATTTTTTTCAGCTTTTTCTTTTTTTAATAAAAGGTAAGTTTACCTTTGACGTTTCCTTTCACTGGTCAAAAGCCCATCGCTGGGTCATATTTATTAGCAACCCAGGGGGCTCGTTCAGAAATTTTATTTTTGAATGACTGCTTAAACTTAAATGAAAAAAAAAAAAAAGTGCAACGCCCCTATGGTGTGCAGAGAAACGCTTCTGCAGAAATTTAGTGCCCCCTGCCCTTAAATCATGCAAGAAGTTCTGTTTGCAAAGCTAAGGAGAAGGTCGTTGGGTCACCCTCAAGCCCGGCTTCAGCACTGCCTTCCAGGAACCCGAGGAACAGGAAGGGCTTTATCTGACAGCTTTGTCACTTTGCTCCCTCATGAACCACCCTGCCTTGGCACCGTGTTGCTTTATCCCAGAGGGTCCCCTGGAGGTGGCAAAGCAGGGATACAGCTCTAAGTGGCCTTCTAACAGGGCCTGACGGTAGGAAGTGAGGCTGGGAGTTCCCTCCGCTCCAACTTTGCTTCCTATTATTGCTGCATTTCAGCAACCTTTTGTTTTGTGTCGCATCACTCTCGCTCCGTCGCCCAGGCTGGAGGGCAGCGGCACCATCTCAGCCCACCGCAACCTCCGCCTCCCGGGTTCAAGTGAGTCTCATGTCTCAGCCTCCCGAGTAGCTGGGATTACAGGCACGCACCCCCCCACGCAGCTATGCACTTTTTTTTTTTTTTTTAATGGAGTCTCGCTCTGTAGCCCAGACTGCAGTGCAGTGACGCAACCTCGGCTCAGTGAAACCTCCGCCTCCCGGGTCCCGGTGCAAGCAATTTTCCTACCTCAGCCTCCCAAGCACCTGGGATTATAGGCACGAGCCACAATGCTTAGCTAACTTCTGTATTTTTTAGTAGAGACGGCGTTTCACCATGTTGGCCAGTCTGGTCTTGAACTCCTGACCTCGTGATCCACCCGCCTCGGCCTCCCAAGGTGCTGGGATGACAGGCGTGGCCACCGCGCCTGGCCGAGACCCAGGAATTTTAATTCTCTGGAGTCAGAAAAACCTAGGTGAAGTTCCCCGCCAGCTCACTTCCCAGCCGCGTGCCCCTAAGGGCACAGCCTTAACCGCTCTCGGCCTCAGTTTCTCATCCGCAAAAAGGGCTCACGTGAGGGCGCAATGCTGAGCTCCCCGCGCCGGAGCACAGATGAGCTGGTGCTTACTATGAGGGCGGCTTCTTTCCAGAGCCAGGGGAGGAGGGCGGGGTGGCGGCTCGCAGCGCGAACGCGGGGTCCCGGGTAGGGGCGGGGCGGTGACGACGGAGGGGATGCGGGGTCGCCCGGACTCACCAAGGCTTCCTCCTCGTCCTTCTCCAGCGCCTGGTACTCCCGGCCCCCGCCCGAGAAGCCGAGTTTCTTCAGGAACTTGGAGACGCGTCCCTCGTCCATGGTGAGCGGGGGCAGACGCTGCCTGCTTCCCTCGGTCCCCGGCGAGGCCCGGGCTGGCTGCGCGCGCCCAAGCTTCCTGGCCCAGCCCCGGTTACCAGGTAGCCGTCTACCTGCCCGTGCCAGGTGAGGCCCCGCCCCCGGGGCGGGGCTGCGCACAAGGAGGCGCCGGCTCACCTGGCCCCGCCCCGCGAGCGCGCCTCGGACCCCAGGGGCCCTGGGGTCAGCAACAGCTGGCCAGGGAAGGCTGGCGGAGCGGCTGCGTCCCCTCAGGGCTGAGGCTCTTTCCCAAACTTGCCGCTCCTAAGAATCACCTGGAGTGGGGGAGGTGGAGGAGCAAACGCTAGTTTGAAATCCGGATTCCCAGACCCCTCCTTGCCCAGTCATTGGGTTTGGAGCCGCAGGGAGCTGGGTTTTTAACGAGCCCCAGGTGACCCTCTTGAGGAGCCTAGTGTGGGCCGCTCTAAGGCGCTGGGAGCGAGGTGGCCGGAGCTGACTCAGACCCACACCTGCGGCTGTGCGCGCTGGACGGGTCACGTGGCCTCTCGGGGCCTTGGTGGCCTTGTCTATCGTTAAGCAGGGAGCAGAGGCTAAGACCCCTCCTCCAGGGCCCTGGCAGTGGTCCAGGAGCCGGAGCTACTGAGAACCCTACTGCCTTTGGCGCCTGCGTGGTCTTGGAGGGTCAGGGCCCTCGGTCCTCATCCGCAGGACCAGCGCCTGCTCTTGCGCATCGTGGAACCTGAGCAGGTTTCTTACATTTTTTGCGCCTTGGTTTACTGCGCTGCAGAATGGTCACCACGATGGCGCCTCCTTCACAGTGACATTGAGAGGGCCCAGCGGGCAGTGCTGCACAGGAAGGTCTGGTGCAGGGCTCGGGTAGAGAACATGTGGGTGTCCTCATGACCATCACCATCATCATCACAAGGTGCTGAGCACAATGACTCCCAAAGTATGTGAGTACACACGCAGTGTAGACAGTTGCCAGCCACCAAGTGGCTGCTTTGAAGAGCAAGAGTTTTGTTTTTTGTTTTTTTGGGTTTTTTTTTTTGTTTTTGAGACCGAGTCTTGCTGTCACCCAGGCTGGAGTGCAGTGGCCTGATCTCGGCTCGCTGCAACCTCCGCCTCCCGGGTTCAAGCAATTCTCCTGCCTCAACCTCCTGGGTAGTTGGGGTTACAGGCACGCACCACCACGCCTGGCTAATTTTTTATATTTTTAGTAGACACTGGGTTTCATCATGTTAGCCAGGATGGTCCTGATCTCCTGACCTCGTGATCCAACCACCTCGGTCTCCCAAAGTGCTGGGATTACAGGCATGAGCCAAAACCCCCGGCAAGTGCAAAGGTTTTCTTTGGCTTCAGGTGGGACTAGATCCATAGCTAGACCGACCACTTAGCAGAGGGGGGGATTTGGGTAAGGCTGTGCCACTCCCCTCTGCACTGGCTTCCTCATCTCTACAGGGAAGTTGCTTACCGGCTACAGGAGGTGGAATCTGCATTTGTCCATGACATTCAGCCACCCCTTTTGAGCAAATATTTGCCACCCACTTCAATTACTCCCGAGGTTGACTCCAGCCCCTGAAAACCTGCAGGTAGTTCCAGCAGCCCTTCTTGTTTCTCCGGCATCTTGCTTTTTTAAGGAGACAAAGGCTACAGTATCTGCCTGCCCCTGCTCTACCAGTTTCAACAAAGGTGCAGGAATAATGGGAACAGCAAACCTCTAATGTGAGTCAGTCCAGATTTCAATCCCAGGAATGTTCCTTTCAGCTATGTGACCTTAGGCAACTTTCTTCACCTCTCTCCACCTCAGTTTACTCATCCATAAAATGGGGATGTCACTACCTATATAGATCAGGGTCCCAGTAGGAAACAGCGATTTGAGGAGAGTTTGAGAAACAGACTTTTTACAAGGTGTGGGGATGATGTAGAGAAACCAGAAGAGATTGTGCCATTAACAGAGACAAGTAAAGAGTGAGAAGTGCCTTTGCTCCCACCCAAAGCCTGAAGGACGAGAGGAGACAGGATGGGGGCGGGGGGGTGGGGCGCTGATAACTTCAGCGGAGTAAAACTGCTTGGATCAGAAGTGGGAGAGCAGTGGAGCCAAGGATGCAGCCTCCTCGGCCGAGAATCTGAAAAAGAGTGGAGAATGGTGTAGAGGAGTCCAGCCATGGTGGCTCACACCTGTAATCCCAGCACTTTGGGAGGCCAAGGTGGGCAGATCACCTGAGGTCAGGAGTTCGAGACCAGCCTGGGCAACATGGGGAAACCCTATCTCTACTAAAAATACAAAAATTAGCCTGGCATGCACCTATAATCCCAGCTATTCTGGAGGCTGAGGCAGGACAATCGCTTGAACCTGGGAGGCAGAGGTTGCAGTGAGTCAAGACTGCGCCACTGCACTCCAGCCTGGGCAACAGAGCAAGACTCCATCTCAGAAAAAAAGAGTGCTGTAAAGGAACAAAGAGCAGACATCCTGCAGCTAACGTCACCATCCTACGGTGCAGGCTGAGTGAATGTGTACACAGGTAGAGTACCCACTAGTAAGACACGGTAGTACCTGACATCGCAGGTCCTCAGGCACTTCTGTCATATTATTAATATAAAAGAACGTATGGGAACTTGGCTCCGTTATTTCTCAGGTACTTCCCAGCTGGCATTCTGTGATGTCAAGATGATGTTGGATCCAGGGAAGAAGAATACCTTCTTGGCATCTTCATGCTTTTCCAAGCTGTTAACCAGGTATCATCTCTCCAGGTGGATCAGCATCCCTGGAGCTGAGGATATGGAAAGCCCAGGCTTTCTGATTCTATCACTATAGCTTCTGCTGCAGCCCAGAGATGTCAAGGCTGGAATTCCTGGGCTGGGTTTGAAAATGCCCAGGGCATTCCAGAAGGAAACTCTAGGTAGCAGATATATACATATACATTTTAGAGATGAGGTCTCACTGTAGTCCAGGCAGGAGAGCAGTGGTGCGATCATAGCTCACTGCAGGCTTGAACTCGTGGGCTCATGCAAGTAGTAGAGGGGACAGGTCATACAACAACACCCAGCTAATTTTTAAATTATTTATTTACTTTTTGAGATGGAGTCTCGCTCTGTCGCCTAGGCTGGAGTGCAGTGGCATGATCTCGGCTCACTGCAAGCTCCGCCTCATGGGTTCAAGTGATTCTCCTGCCTCAGACTCCCGAGTAGCTGGGATTACAGATGCTCGCCACCACGCCCGGCTAATTTTTGTATTTGTAGTACAGACAGGGTTTCACCATGTTGGCCAGGCTGGTCTCAAACTCCCGACCTCAGGTGATCCACCCACCTCGGCCTCCCAAAGTACTGGGATCACAGGCATGAGCCACCACGCCTGGCCTCATTTTTATTTTTATGTAGAGATGGGATCTTGCTATGCTGCCCAGGCTGGTAACATAGGTTTGTGGTGTGTAAATTAGGTAAATTAGACTCCACCGGTGTTGCTTATGGTATGTGCCTGAAACATGGCAAATACCTCAAAATATTTACTGAATATGTCTATCATAAACAGCAGACCATTAAAATTTATATTTAATAGAAACTTCATATGAATTATTTGCTTTGTAATGGGGAAATGTATCATGTCTACATTGCTATAGTTGTTACTGTTAGATTGACTTCTGTCATCCTCTTTCAAGTTTTATTTCTGTGCCTTTTGAGGCAAGCACTCAATTTGCTGTCAATTTTTACTTTGGGTTTCAGAATAAACATCTTACTGAAAGTTCTACTAGGAGCTACCTGAAAACACTGAAGAAATACAGACAAGGATTTACAGTCTGTTTCGGTTTCCTTTTCCAGGTTTAAAGGAATTTTCCACTTTAATTTTTGTTTTTCTAACTTTTGTATCCTTTTATATTCTAAGTAATTTGATTACCCAAACTCTTCTTTTATTTATTTATCTATTTTTTGAGACAGAGTCTTGCTCTGTCGCCGAGGCTGGAGTGCAGTGGTAGGATCTCGGCTTGCTGCAAGCTTCACCTCTTGAGCTCAAGTGATTCTTGTGCCTCAGCCTCCAGAGTAGCTGGGACTACAGGCATGCACCACCACACCCAACTATTTTTTGGGTTTTTTGTTTTTGTTTTTTAGCAGAGATGGGGTTTTGCCATGTTGGCCAGGCTGCTCTTGAAATTGTGAGCTCAAGTGATCTAGCTGCCTGCCTCAGCCTCCCAAAGTGCTGGGATTACAGGTGAGTCCGTGTGTCTGGCCAGGCTCTGACTTTCTGAGTCCGTCTTTGTTGTGGTGGTTGTCCATTTCCCTGTGATTACACCTGCTATTTATCTTTGTCTTAAATGACCTTTCTGAGCTCTGTCACTTTGTTTGTATTCTGTGGTCATCCCCACAGACTTCCAGATTCTGGTTTTTCAAGTTTTCAGTTTATTTCTTCTGCTTTCAGCCTGTAAAATTCTAGAGCCCACCTGCAAAGAATCTGACAAGACAGTTGGCTGGAGAACTTTTTGGGGTTTGCAGCTCCACGCCTGAGAGTGATTCTGCCACACTGGCCAACGATGAATGCCAGGGGTGGGACCCAACCAAAGGCATCCAGCCTTTCCTGAAATGTCTGCTCTGGGCACCTTGAACAATGAGGCCATGGTCGGCGACCCCCATTCACTCTCTATGTCAAAGTGGTGTCTTCACTGCCCACAAATTATCCCCAACAATGCATCCTGCTGGCAAGCCGTTTTGCAACCTCAAGGTGCCCGTATTTTGTTTGGTAACAAACTTCACTCACAAGTTCCATAAGGTTAAAATTGGAGGCATCCTTTTTGGAAAGGGTACACTGCACAACGGTAGAATTTGTACAATTTGTTTCTAATTTTAGGAATTAGGTGGAAGTGATGGTTCCTTGCTTAAACCCTCAATCCTGTTTGTTTTGCAATGGTTGTGCACACAGGCAGTAATCATTTTATAGATGGGAACGTTGGGACTTGGAGAGGTAAGCCCATTTCATTCACTTAACAAATACTTTTCAGCACCTGCCACGTGGCACTGGAGGTGGAGGTGGAGCTGGGAACACGATATTCTTTCCCTGCTTTCCTGCATCTCATCTCATACCGGGGGAGACAGGCTATGGA